CTTCAAACCAAACTTCACCCAAATTAAATTTTTCAAAACAAATTTGGAATCTATGGCCAAACGCTAGCTAAATGATTCAGAAGTTAAATAGTGTCGACTCCAAAAGGAGGCCACTAAGGCGGGAGAAATTCAAAAATTACCAGATTTACAAGTGGTCATTCAAAAATAGCCACAGTTTCAAAAGTAATCAAAACTTAACCACTTTTCATGTTAATATAAATCTGAACGAAAACACTGTTCAAAATTCGAAAAAATACTCCAGTATATTATACTGAAGTTCTAGCATAAGTATACTGGAACTTTCTGCGTGTTGGAGTTCCAGCATAATATGCTGGAAGTTCATACACAAGTGCACCGATCTCCAGTATATTATGCTGGAACTTTCCGTGTTGCAGCAAAATAGTTGTTATTTTTTAATGACTTTACAAACGCTGACTATTTTTGAATGACCAGTCCGAAAACTGGCTAGCTCGTGCTATTTTTACCACTAAGGCTCCAAATTTAGAATAAATTACGGCCCTTGTCACTTGGCCTAACAGCCCAAGCGAAAATGGCCCAGATTTGAAGTTTTTACGCAGTTTAGCCCGTGTTATACATTACTTGAAAGAAACTTTTCAACATTTAGCCCATTATTAAAGATATTCTAGGGTTTTTATTATTTTCTTCTTTCTTCATTCCCAGCACACCAAATTCTCTTCCCACCGCCTCTCGCTTCTTTCTTTCTTACCCACACATATTCCATCATTCTCTCTTAACCTAGCCTCCACTATTCCCCCTCCCCTACCCCTTACGCAGTTCTGCCATCAATGGCTCGAAGAAGGCTCAAGCTCCTCCTCCGTCATCCAAGCCCGCCAAGTCTGATGATGGCAAGCATAAGAAAATTGAAGATTTTGAAGAAAAAAAATGTAAATACACACAGATATGAAAATAAATAGCTCTCAAACTTGATTTGCACCAAAAAATAACCACTAATTTTGGAAAATTTTGAAATTTGAAATTCGAGTCATCATTGTTATGTCCTTGAAGTCTCGGATCTGAAACTGGGTATATCTTATCTGGATATTGAATTTCGAATCATTGGCGCAAAGTTGTTAATCTATTGACGAGTTGAATCATCCAATACCTTCTGCTACAACTCGAAGCTTGGATAAAAAATACAACTATGTAGCAGTTTGTATCAACATTGTATAATAGTGTATAATTGTGTATATGGATGTTCAAACACCTTTTATACACTATTTTACATGTTTATACAAGTTGATACATTAGTTACAGTAAGTGTAGTGTTGGACATACTGTGTTTTCTAATGAAAATATTGTATAATTATTGTCTGTGTATAAGAGGTCTCTATGAAAGTTTGACACTTTCTTCTCTTCTTCTTTTTCGTGTATGTGCTATATAAAAAACATCTTGTACGCGTTGGAGAGATTCTACAATTCATTTACCAAGTTTTAATTTTTCTTTTATCCTGTTGGATTGATTCAGCAATTGCACCTAAAAGTGTGTGAATTTCTTGCCTTCAAATAATATGTATTATTATATAATTGTATACAATTAACGTATGACTATGCATAACAATGTATATAAGGTGTTTAATTATAATAATTTTTTATTTTTTCAGTGAAATAAGAACTTGAAACAAGAATTTTCCTTACAAAACCTTGAATTTTGCAAAAAAAAAAAAAAATAAAAAAAAAATTAAGCAAAATTTATCTAGAAAGGATCTTTAAGAATCTTGACATTTTCACTTTTTTCCAAACATCTCTTTCATGAATTAAAAAACAAAAAAAGAGGCAAAAAAAATTTAAGATTATAGACTTTTAAGGAAGAGTATATTTTTTACTTTAAATTCTTGATATTGTGAATTTTAGGAAATATATAAAGAGGGAAGTAAAATAAAATAAAAAATAAGAAAGGAAATGGAGAAAAGGAAAAGATAAAAAGTGGAATCTGATTTAGGTGTGAAACGAATCATAAAAGGAAAAAGGAATCACAATGAGTAAACGGTGGCCGAAATCCGACGAGATTTGTGAGTTTGGCTTGTTTTTAGAAATGTTTGTGAGCTATCAAATGAAAACTGTATTTCTGGGTTAGGCGGATGAAAAATGCTTCCTCTAACCGTATTTTTGTATAAATTCCTCCCAAATTATCTTATTTAGTATTGCATAGACTGTAAAATTATTATTAAAAAGATATAAGATTTATGCTTCTTTTTAAAATGTGATAGAGATTGTAAAAAAGAGAGGCTATTTACATGAATACTTGAATTTTATAATAAATATATAATATATGTAAAAGAACAATTTGATGACGATATTGATAATAAAAAATAAAATAAGTCTCTTATAGTCTCTTTTAGAATTAATTATTTCTTATAAAGAGTGAAAGCAACTTTTTCAATTTAAAATAGACTTGAAGTATTTCAAATGTATAAAATTATTTTAAAATTAAAATCATTGGATGATGAAAACCTACAAAAATATCTTAAATGGTTGTCAATATTGCTGAAATTTTAGTAAATGGAGTACCAGAACAGCTGAGTGCATAATCAAGATATATACAAGATGGTTCGTACACTATTATTACAAAACAAAAAAGAATAAAAATCAAATAAAAACATATAAATTTTTTTAATTAAATTTAAGGCATCTTCTTAAGATTTAATTTTAGACTATTAATTTCGTTGAGCTGCCTCTGAAGTCAAATAGAGAGCAAAATGAGCAATTTCGAATATTATATGGGCAATTCCAGAACAAATTGGTGGAACCTGTGAAGTGTACTCTAGCATTATGGTATTGCCATGCGATACAAGAGATAAACTGACCCCTACTTACTATTTACATTAAATTATATTAATTTATTATAATTAGTGATAAAAATAAAGTGAAAATAAATATTAATTAAATATGATAGTTGATAATAGGTTATGTATATATATAAGCTAGGGGCATACAATGAAAATCGATAAACATCACCAAATCAATAATCCAAGTCAAACCGGAAAAACAAAATCGATTATGGTTTGGTATTAGAAAAAAAAACCCGACCATAATTGGTATGATTTGATTTTAATTAAGAAAAATTAAGTCGGGCCGGAACCAAACCAACCCGATAATATATTTATACAATTTTTAAAAAATATTTTATCCATATAAATAGTTATTGTAATATAATTTATAAATATTTTTTAAACTTTTTCAGAGTTTTATCTTTTAACGTATTATTTCAAGTTTCGACTTAACATTCATGAATGGTAAATAAATTTATAACCCATAAATGTAGTAACTCAAACAAAATTCAAATCAATACTAATGTTAGCAAAAGAAATTCAATTCAATACTAAGAATGATGATAATGTTAGATTTTTATTTTTTAGTTTTACATTGGTTTATAATGAAAATAGATAACTTAGTTTATCTTTTTCTTTAGTACTTAGTTATGTAACTAATAGTACTTATTAGCTATATATTTTTTAGCATGACCTATATAGTATTTTTAGATTTTGTTAATTTTTATAATGGCTTATTTATTAGCAATATTTGCTTTATGCAATTTTCTTATCTTTGTTATCGAATATTTTAATATAATGCTATGACTTATCTCATATTATTGTGTTATTTTCTTAAAAAATACATTATATAGTTGTATCTTACTACGACTAAAGAAATATTTGGAGCACAAGTTACATGTTTTGTGCTATGAAGACTTTACGGGGAAAAAATTCGAAAACCCGAAATGAACCGAAAAACCCGAGAAAAAACAGAGATTGAAAAACCCAGCTTTGTTGGTTTGGTTTGGTTTATAGATTAAAAACCCAACACCATTAGTTTGGTTTGGTATGGTAATTGAAAAATCGAACTAACCCGACCTATATACACCCCTAATATAAGCTATTATCTTAGGTCCAAAAATTAGACACTGCAACCTGTCAACCAATGATTGCCTTCATACTTCATTTAGGATCAACTGATCAGACTCTAGAACTCTTTTATTTATGTTGTACCTAAGGAACCAAAATATCACCAAGCAGCTTAACCAGAGTCCGGTTTCAAGCAAGAAAAATCGTATTTAATTGATTAATTTATAGTTGCTGAAATCATGTAATCATAGTGGTGAATTAGTTGAGTCGCATAGACCATTTTGTAGATTTTTAACAAAGTTGGTGAACTAATTCGATCTATTTTACAGCAGAAAGTGTTGTGATGAGTCATCCAAGTCGTCGTTTGGTAATTGGTATAGCATAATAGAGCTAAGCTTAATCTCTTGAACCAGACTTTAAAATGGTGGAAGGAAGTATAGTATTTTAAACTTTTTCACATCGATCTTGTAATTAAGTAAGTGTTACTAATTCATCTTACTAGTAATATATATCATGCTACTAAATGTATATTTCTGCAGCTTTAGCGGAAAGTTGACCATACATTTTCTCATACTCATACTTTTAAAGAGCACAACTTCTCAATGATTTGAGCCCTAAAGCAAGAAAGTCCAGAGAAATATCCTTTTGCACAAAGACATTATTCTGAATATATTATGAGTACAAATGATAATCTAAAATTAATTTTTCTTTTCCCAGATCTTTTGTCAAAAAGAGAAGAAAAATGTGTTAATGGCCCTTAGGCTTATTAAAAATTTCATTACCATGGGGAAAATCGTAGATATACTTTCCCCTCGAAGATATATACTCCCTCTGTCTCAAATTATCTGTCGTGATTTCTAAAAAAAATAGTTATCTCAAGTTATTTGTCATTTTATACGTTCAAGACAAAATAAATTATATTTTTCCCATTTTATCCTATAATAATTGTTCTTGATGATAAAGATAATACATAAATAGAGTAAATATTCAATGAAGAGATATTATATCTTAAGATATAAATAAGGGTAACATAGTCCAAAATTTCTCCTAATTAATATTTCTCAAGGGGCGGGGCATGGAAAAGAGAAACACGACAAATAAATGGAAAATAACTTGACTCCGCATGCATAACAAAAGATAAAACAAAACCATCTGAAGTAGCCTCCACTGAAATTAATAACATCCTCTGTACAAGATAAAGATGTAATTGAGATTTTCCGATATTTATTGGCTCGACTAATCCAAATTCATACTGCATAGTGCAAAAGGATATAAATTTATGCAATATTTAACTGTAAGTTGAGGTTAAGGTTCTTTATTTTGTGTTTTTTCCTTGTGTAACTAATAAAAGGTGATACTTATTGATCTTGTATACTTGTTAGAATTAGGAGAAGTTGTTGACCTTCTCCTTAGCATTTGCCTCATCCCATCAGCTACATGAACTGCAGGATTATTAGACTTATATTTCCCACAAAATGACATATGAGCTTTTACAGCTTCTTCCATCCCAAGAAATTGCTTCCCTCTGTTAACTTCATATCTAACAGCTTCTGAGCATAATCCACATAGCCATTTCCCCTCAAAATTCCCCTTCACTTCACTAATGTAGTCTTTTGTGCAATCTTCTTTCAGTCCACAACAATCGCACTTTACCAACTCTATTTCCATATCTTGAATCAAACCTTCAAGTGTTTGTGGCAAATTAAGGAAGAAAAAAGGGATAGTGGGAAAGGAGAGGGAGGAAGTAGACAGCTTATAGTAGTAAGGAAAGGTGCCATAATTTACTCCATGTTCTAAGGGACAAACTGCAGTGGAAAAATGAGACTATTTGGCTTTGGAGGGTCCCTAAGTTGTTATTAATTATTTTCTACTTGCCCTTTGTCATTTTCTATTTTGGTAAATAACAATCGTCTTAGTTGCAGCAAATAATACGAAGTTTCTTTATAGAAAATCTTTTTCTTGAAAATATCTTTCACGCCCTCCCACTCCTTCCTTCTTATTTTTGGGTAAAGTTTCTTTTCGTTTCCTTACCCTCGGCCTCGGGTGATTTAATATGATCTTAGCATCAGTTAAATTATGGATCAATAATTAACGAACGATAATATTTTACAATTATAGTTTTTATTTTTTGTCTGTAGTTTATTTAGTGGCTTCTTTTACTTCACCATTATACAACGTTGTTTTCGCTCAAACACTCAATTTTCATCATGATTTTTCTTGAAGTGGGCAATTATTGGCCATTCTTAGTAGACTAGGGACTAATTATGATAATCAATCACGATTAATCTCGCAAAAGAAAGTACAGTAAACAAATTTATGTTTTGGTTACGTTCACTTAATTAACCGATTTTTTTGGCTAAATAGTATAACAGAAATTGACCTTCCGAGTTTGAACCTTTGTGCCTATACGTGTTCTCCTTCGCACCAAAAGAAAAAATTCAAGAAAAAAATGAAATAAAATAAAAATAGCGCTACATGCATAATAATTTGACTTACCGAACTTTGTTCTATACCTATTCTAAAATTAAAGGTTGGCTTAGCAATTTAAGCCAAACCCTATTGAACAATTGATAGGGAGTTTGGCCTGTGGCCTCAAATGCCTTGATGTAAAGGTAAATTACGTGGCATGGCAGTACTGAGTCAATTATTAAATTACACTGTTTTGAATGTACATGAACAAATAGAAGCTTCTAGCTTGACGAGACATGTCAAATAATGATTAGGAAGTTAAATTGATTATGCTAATAAATGATGAAAAGTGCATATTTTTTCGTATATTTGCATATTAATTCTTGTGTGAGTCGCGAGAGATTACTTGATTTTGAAGTGAAATATACTCATTGTGTGTTTTTTATGTGTAGGAATGAGTTTCGATGATAAATGATCAAAAGATGACAATTTGACACAAAAAAAAAGAGATAGAAAGAAATGGGAGCTCGTCCAATCTCGTGCGTGCCACAAAAACGGGCGCGAAAAAGGAGAAAACTGAAAGCATAAAACAGCAAAGTGAAGCAAAGGCACGGATCGCTTCGCGAACTGAAAAAATTGCAAAAGCTGAGTCCGCATCCCTGTTGATACCCAATTTTTTCCTCACATATTTTTAATACATATATATACTTTCAAAATAGTACATATGCAGTTATAATCATGTATAAGTATTTTTTTTATAGTTTTAAAGGTTCCAAATCAATTTATTTCTCCTCTTTTTATTATATAAATATCCAATAATTATCCTTCATACTACTTTTGTGATGATTTAGTCACCTAAATTCAGTATTTATGCCAACATAGTGTTTAAATATTTTTAGTACATTTTTTGTATTTACATTTATATTTTTAAAGCTAAATTGCATATTTTTGCAAAAATAGCCCGTACTAATGTATAATTACATTATTTATGCATAAAATGATCTTTTATATTTTAAAATATTAAATAACTATTTTAAATTATTTTTATAGCACAAAGACATTTTGGTACTCATTTATTATTTTTCATAAATTATTTAGTTGTTAAAATTGGCTATTTAAAATCTGGCCCCAATTTTAACCCAAACATACTTAGCCCAAACCTTAACACCCGATCCAGCCCCAAACCCTTTCAACCTCGGCCGTTGATCGCAGAGATCAACAACCACAATTAACCCTTTCCTTTTTTTAGTTCAAAACGACCCCAAACCAACCCCTAACCCTAATCGTCGTCATCCAAATTCAGCCTTAATCCTTTGAATCTCTATCCGATCTATGGTGTCCTATGGCTGTACGAAGCCTCAACTTGTCTCTTATCCCCTTGGTTGTTCGATTATGTGGTTTTTGCGGAAGAACCTCGAAGAGATCTGGTCCAGATCTTATTCAAAGCTCTTCAAGGGTTCGTCAATGGCTTGCGAGTAATTTCTATTGAATTTCCATGGTTCAAATCTCTGGTTCAAAACTAGGTTCTCTTTATCCCTTTTATCCTCAAAACCCTAATCTTTGGACATGAATCCATCTCGATCTTTGTAGATCTGTAAGGATTCTGAGTTTGTTAATGACTTTCCTTTAAAGATCTCTTGTTTATTTACTGTCAGCCGATTTTAGCACTATATTTTGGGTTCTTTGCTATCTACCGTTTGGATCTCTAGATACTTGAAGTGTTTTCAAAGTTTATGTGATTTTTCTTTAAGTTTCTCTTATCCCTCTACTACTAACCGATTTTAAACACTACAATACTTCAAGTTTTTGACTTCTATGACTAGGGTTTCCCGAAAATTTCTTTCTCCAAAACATTTGATAATTTTGAGTGTTTAACCTTCTGTTTCTTGTGTGTTCTAACCAATTTCATGAGGTTTGCTTTAACCCTAACTCGTTTATGCTAAAGGCCCTAATTTTTCGACATTATTGTTTGGATTCTGAGTTTGTCTAGGTTACTTGTGTACTGACTTTGACCTATGCTTTGGTTTCTGCGATTATTCCTCCTAATGTGCCTCTATTGATGTTCTTGGTTCGACTTTTCTACCGATTCTATATGTCTATGTTCATTTTTGCCAATTCATGGTAAACCTATACTTTTCTCCTTAAATCAGTGATTGATTTGGATTCTTGATTTATCAGTTTGTTTTGTTAAGACCTATGTGCTAATTGCTGACTATTCCCTTTATTTACAATCTTGATTAGCTTTCTTACCTTATTCAATTAACCGTGATATTCACCGATTCTTTACTGATCATTTCCTTAATTAAACTTCTGTCTATTTACCCCTAGTTGCTCGTTTGATTTTCTTTCCTTAAATGTATTCTACCTTTACCGTTGGTTAATGTAATTAAGGGAAAGTTATACTAATTGGTGTATAATTGATTCTGTGGCTTCCTTAATTGCAGAAGGGTTAATTCCCTTTACCTTATTTTCCTTGCTCTTAACTGCTATATATACTCTCGTTTACTCCTCACTTCTACACACGAATATTAGTTCATCTACACTCTCTCACTCTCAAAAGCTCTCTATTCTCTTCTGTTACTTGTAATTCTCACTAATCTAATCGGCTGTAATCCAAGGCTGGCTACTTGTACCATTCCTGCTATACACTCTGTATTCTCTCCTTAACTAGTATGTCCTGATTCAATTCCCATTCCAAAACTATGTGTTTTTCTTTGTTGCGCAATTCATTACTTGTGATTTCTAGTTCTATTTGCTATTCTATTCAATGAGCAATCAACATGCCTAGATTACTGTGTCACTCAACATGTTTAAATTTATTCTGTTAAAAGCTATAGCTAGTATACTGTTTAGCATGCCAATCCTGCTTTAGATAATTTGTTCACTAGTATGTCCAAGCTGTATTGTGTGTTTACTGTCTTACCCAACATGTCTAAATTCTGCTTGTTCTGTATATGATTAGTATTTCTAAAGCCTTGAATGCTTCATGAAGTGTTTGTCTAGTTTGTTCATCTAAGTCTAACTTGCTCTACTTCA